ATTTTAGAATTATTTTTTTATTATATTGTTTATAAGTGGCCAGTTCTAAGAACTTTCAGTTTGACCCTCGTAATCAATCTAATCAAGCAGGTACTTACCAACCTAAACTTTGACCTTTGACCCATTTCATAAGAATTTGAGACGAGAACATACGATTGGAATAGCCAGAGCGCTCAAACATTGGCAATATATCAAATTTCAGTATTTTATGAACTCATGCTAAAATTACTCGACGTTTTTAAAGAATAATTATCTAAAGTGCTTTAATTTAGGAGATATAGCGTGGCGCTGCCGGACTGACGTCAGCCCAGCAGCACTACATTAGTTCTAATCTATCTCTAAAAGTATTTACTTTAGCCATTTATCGCCGCTATGTCCCAGATTGAGAGAGGATTAAATGATGACCTGGAAAGTTTTATGGAAGAAATTATAAGTGTAGAGATTTAACTGTGGCGCTGCAGACCGACGTCAGCTCAGCAACGCCAACACTCATTTATCTTTGAAACTACGCAAATTGATTATTTGTTCCTATTTCGAGGTGTACTGATAAATAAGGGGCAAGATGATTTGTAGCGTTGGTTTTGTAGATGTGGAGGCTGAGAAGCACCCCCCCACCCCAGGGCCTCTGGTAAAAAGAATTGAACAAATAATGTTTTAACAAACTTTATTTTATTTCTCAAGGGCTGGGTACAGATTCGCTGAAGAGGACGTTTTAAAGTAGAATAAGGGATTTAATGTAGAGTTCGCGGTGTCAGGATCCGGGCAGCGGCTGGCAAGGATACACCAGACGTCAGCTCCGGTCAGTAGCACCGGTGAACAACGAAGACTCGACATGAGGATGCAGAGAAGCATAGATGAGGCGGGCTCCGATGGAAGGACCCCGAATTCGGGATTATTTACCACTATTATTTCAAAATCATTAAAAATGAAGTGTTGTTGCGCGAGAGGTCGTTTATATACTATTTCACCATTGAGCCGCACTGCGCTCCCATGTCTACCTACATACTATAATTGTATTACTACAAATCTTTTATAGTTCAAGCTGCCCGTCTCTGGAATGTATTGCCCGAAAATATAAGACGTGCGCAAACGGTAGATAGTTTCAAAAATCTAGTAAAGGAGCACTATCTATCATTATGAACTTTTACATTATATCCAGTTATAGTATTAATTATATAATCGTATGTATGGTTGGACTACCTAATTTAGATTTAAATTAAAATTTTCTAAACGGTAACGGTTGCCTGGAAGAAATTGCTTCTTAGCGATAGGGCCGCCGATAATACTATTTGTTTTATTTTATTGTTACCTATAATTGGTGTTTTTGTACAATAAAGAATTATTCTATTCTATTGTTAACAGTGTACCTACAATTATTTTTATTGATTATTTTTCTTTCAATTAATTTGTACCAAAATTAAAAAAAAGGAATGAAACATCCAGAAGACAAACAGTTTCTTTAGAAAACTGTAACAGATTCATTTATAAATCGAAGACGGTGGCGCTGCCAGCTTAACACACGCCAGTATCTATGTACTGTTTGAATATAAATACATTCGTTAGATATTAAAAATAATTTACAACTACAACCACCAACCAACCACATTATGCAACTCATACTTTACGTCTAGAAAGAATACAAAAAAGGTTTACGAGCCACTTATCGTATTCAAAAGGTATTTCCAAGAGTCTCAAAAGTTACCAGGAAAGACTCAAACATTTTAAAATGACATCATTGGAAAAGAGACGGGACTTACTCGATTTATTATTCTTACATAAAATACTAACTACATAAATTACTTTCTCTTTTTAAATTCAAAGTGCCACGAAAAGTGCCTCGAAAACCCATAACACCGCTATGTCCGCCTTTCAGGTACACTGTTTTTGATGCCAAATCCTCTGTCCCTCGTCTATCCCGAATCCTGAACCGCTATAGTAATCAAATAGATATCTTTTTAGACTCGCCTAGTAAAAAAAGAAATATTGTAATTGATCAGTGAAAGACACACTATATTAAATTAAAACACTGCATTATGTAAGTGGTGTCTGCTTGTAATTAGTTTATGTACTCTAACTCTAGATGTAATTATTATCTGTAAACTACAAATAGTGCATTAAACTGTAAGTGGACCTTTAATAAAGAAAAATGCCTTTTATTAAGTAATACATATTTATTTTAATATAGAAATATCGATGATTATTAGGTAAAGTAGACATTCGTAGCTGCTCAATAATACATCATTAGAAATTTTAAAATAAATCAGTTATATGTAAATGTTATTACAATAAAATATTACACTATAACCGAAAAAGTATAAAATGAAATTCTTAATCAAATCAGTTTGGAAATAAACCATGAATTAACCTAGGATTAAAAATGTTGTAAAAGCATAGATCAAAGACTTACGGTCAGTTGCACAAACGCTCATTAAGGTTTAACGACGCCTTTAAGCTCTTTGTATCGGTAAAGTCGCTTTAAAATAATAACAATTTAAATGGACATTTGTGCAACTAGCTGTTATTCTATGAGATTATAATAGATGTTGCTGTTCATTAATGAGGAAGCATTTAAAAGAAAAAAAAACGTTAGTTCCAGAAATCAAACTAGATGACACTACGGTACTTTCTTGATTTCACCATGAATTAGTTTTCAAAACTCAATAAACAACTCATATTCCATTCGTGCTTTTTCGTATTTGTATTAATATGTACGTTTCGAACTTTGCAAATTTCCGTTTTTTAATATTCAGTTAGTTAAGAGCAACGGAAATGAGTATGTTTGGTCCAATCGTTTCCTGCAAAAATCAACTTTTGCTAGAGTCGCCATCTAGTGGAGGTGCTTTTTTAGTGCTATCTTTTTTTTCTTAAATACTTCCTCATTTAAGGCGAAAGGGTCTTAAGTAACATTTCTCTATCGGTTTCATTAAGTTTGTAAGATACAAAGAAATCTGTTATGAACAATAAAATAATCACGGTCATTTTAAAAGTAATTTTAATTATACGATAAAGACTAATTTAACACGTTCGCGCGCTGTAATGCATGACAAATTTTGGCATTTTGACAACACCGTTTTTTCCATACTAAGTCCATAGGCGTACTTGCGTAGGTCCGCTTACCAATACCATACCAAATGACAGAACGTCTTCAGGCGTTCAGGGCATTTAACGTTGTTTAGGGCATTTAACATGTCCTTTCAGCAAACATAGACCCAAAATTTCAATATTCTTCATATTGGTCTCTCGAAATACAGCCCTTCGACTATGTCTGGTGTGGGGTCTGTTAGTAGAACACAACTTATTACTATAGGCATTTGTACACTGCACAATATAATCGACGAAATGTTTAGGAAAAACAATATCAAACATATCCCGAGGATTGTTTACATTCTCTTTGTTTACTGATATGCCTTCTATTGATGAATCAAAATTAAATTCTGGAATGTCAACTAGTGTAGAGGACCAATCCTGACTATCGAAGTCGTCGTTGTTTGGCTCGTTGTTACTATTAGACTGGGAATTATGAGTAAGTACGAGTAGATCTCTTTCTATCTCAGTTCTACTAGTAGAAGGCTGAACATTTTCGTTTTGCTGAGATTCTTGCTCAGTTTGACGCTCCGATTGTGATAAATTTTGGTCAGGAACATCTGATAAATCGGTAGAAGACTTACTTGAATCAGACGATCCACCGACACGTCGTCGTGACTTGTTCGGTTGATGTACTCTTACACACGGTTTCTGAATCGGAACTACTGCAATTATCTTCATCAGAAGGTACGTAGCATTGGTCGGAACCATATTCTCCATCATCTGCATAAGGATCTTGGCTAGATTCTGACGATGAAGCTTCGTCAAACATTTTGTATACGATTTTGTTGTCTTTGGTATGGGTCATTGGATTCCATCTAAAGGGTAAAAAAACAAACATATAACTTCGATTGGTAAATAAAATAGTGTAATAAATCACACTAAACACATATAATATACACAAGTACACGTAAATATTTTTATTATAAGGATATTACCTTGAACCGCGCATAACTCGCACGCACCCACTCCAATTCGCTCGCAAATGCGCACTGACCGAACGAGTGAACAAAGTCTATTGACCGCGACCGCCGACGGACGTTGTGTCTGTGTGCAGTGTGTATTACAATTGTCAATGTAGTGGAATATGCTGTCCCTTTCTAGTAAGTTTTTACCATTCAATGTGACACTAGCAAATTTTCTGAGGGTTCGTACGGGGACAAAAAAAAATTCCCGCTAATATTTAATAGGAAACAATACGCCCGTCGACGTACGGTGGATTACTAGATTTCAAACTTGAACGACTGTCGACGTAGTGTCGCGTTAGTTTTTTTATCTTCTATCGCCCACCGACGTACCGCGCGCGAACGTGTTAATAAATGCATTTACCTTCAAGTAGACGGCACATCGACTAATATCTAAGAAATATTTAAAGTGTCGAATGGTTTTTATAAACACTTTTTATTATAAATATTGCTTAAACGCTAACCTACATCAAATTAGTTTATGGAGCGGCCTTTAAGAGGATTCTCACATACAAATTTATTTGTCACGTACCCTCAAGCCTTGGATAGCAACAACACTTCTTAAACTAGTTCATTCGTAAGTTGTCATTAGTACGGCAACGAGAAAACAGAGGGCGCTATTTTTTATTTATTACATTTATAAAAATCGTTGACAAAAAAAAGAACAATCTTACGACATCATTTTTTTCCGAATCGATCTTAGACCCTCAGATTCTTATACTCTTAATATATACTATTTTCGCCAAAATAATCATAACTCCTTGCTTTATTTGTTTTCATCTAAATAGAGAAGTAACGAGGGAATCATGAACTATACAGCCATGATATTAAAAATCAGCTGATCTCAAACCAGCGGCCATCTTATGCACTGAAACTGTTTCGCGACAAATCTTTTAATATATGTCTATTATATATTTATGTATGTACTAAACACAAATAAATGTTCACATTATAATTAAATACTTTATTTATTTCACAATAGAGGGCGTGATTTGTTACTTTCGCGTCAAAAAGTTGCTTTTGAAAGCCCGTACTATATAATTTAATGTAATCATATTAATCAGCGTTCAAGAGCTCAGTGAATTTGTTTCTCGTCGCGACGATTGCTTCGTCGCTGTCTTCTTCATCGTTACTAACGATGTCATCAGCGTCGGAATCGGATTTATCATCAGATTCTGATACCGCGGGACTCCGTTCTTCATCATTGGTAATAGCTTGTACCCATTTCACGTATTTGATTTCTTCGTGATTTTCGAATTTTTCTATAAATTAAAAAAATATAGGTACATAATAATATTTGTCGCATCATCTTTACGAAGATTGTTTGATTTAGTTTCTTTTATTTTAATTGCTAGTTACTCGATTACTTAATTACTCGATTGTAAAGAGAGCGTGATCATCGATACTTTTAATTTTATTAGAATGGTGACACTGACTTTGACAGTTCGTTAACAAAAGCAAATTGCCGCCATTTTCGCACACATTCTGTTTCCGATCGCCGAGGAGTAAAGACATCCGACGACATCACGCTCATCTCGTTATACTTTCGTATAGAAAGTGATAAAATGGAACAAATCCACGTTGGTATACACGCCTGTAGTGTAATTTTAAAGATAGTCCTCCGATATGGACGATCTATTTGGGCTTCGTAATTGCCCCTTCGGACTACCCGCCGACATATTCATAGAGCTCGGTGGCGAAGTTAAGCAGCGGCCGGCCACGGGATGGGTGACCGATTTTTTTTATCTCGAGCTCCTCCGTGTTTCGGAAGGTCCCAGCTGCATTTCCAGTCATTAATACCCACCGATTGTAAAGAGATAAAATTTCTAATTTTGTCGTAGAAATTTCCGTATTATAAAGCTAACTTTGGTTTATCTGTACCGGTTAATCCTTGAAAATAATTTCACTTAAAAAAATATACACATGCGAAGTCGCGGTAAAACAGCATTTATTAAATAGATGGTACCCCCACCTTTCTTTTTGGTGAAACCGTGTGGTCGAAGCCAGAAGCACAGCTTTCCATCTAAAGCCATCCTTAGTAAACTATTAGCCGCTCTGTATGTATCTAACCTATAAAAAAGACAATATTTATACAGAAAAAAATATACATTTGATTTATTTTGCATCAATAATACCATATTTATATATTTATCTTTAAGACAAATCCTAAATAATTATAAAAACTATAACATTTGTTTTTAATTAACTAATAAAGCGATTACTACTTTAAATTTTCATAATACCTTATGAGAATTCATATGAACTGTTTTTATATAAAAAAAAAATATATAAAAATAAAATCAACCCCATTTAATGGCTGGTTCACACGTTTTAATAATAATAATAATTCATTTATTGCATGTCACATAGTAAAACAGGTGTTATTATTAGGTACAGTTTATGTGACACCCTGTAAGGGTGTAGCAAATTTAAATTAAAATTAAAATTTCATTGTAAATAGTAAATGCTTTAAATAAAATCTTCTATATCTTCACTTTCCTCAATATCTTACATTCATAAAATTTCATTTAAATTCACATTCGTCCCTAATTTTCATTTTAAAAATAATCATAAGTATATAAAATTAATGTTAATTGTCAGGTAATTTTCAATTAAGTACAATAAATGTCAAATGCTTAGAATTAAAAATTATAAATTATGTCACAATGTAGATGTCAAAACAAAACAAAAGTTAAATTGTCAAGAGATAAATTAAATTGTCAAGGAAGAAAGAAAAACATGGTATGTCAACGGCAATAAAGTTATTAAGTAGATAATAGTAGTTTATGCAACTGTCATATAAGAAGGGGTATTAAAACACGAGAGTCTGTTTATGCGATAATAGGTGGACTCGAGTGTTTTTATACCTGAGTTATATGCAGTTTCATACACTACTTTATCTTCACTCATAGGAAATATTGAAATTAAACAAAGTAGTAGGTTACAAGGAAGTAATTTATGCGTGCGTCATTTTTTTACAGTTCGAACTGCGCATGCGTGCGCCATTTTTTTCATATTCAGTCTAAAACCATAGACTAGTTTAATGAATAAAAAAAAAATAGCGGTACTATAATGAGTTTTATGATACAGTTGGTGGTATTGTAATGAGTTTTATTTTCAAACGTATAGAATCGTCTTTGGATTAGTAATTCGAATTTTTCGATTTGAGTGCAGATAAATAAATTTTTTACTTAATTTTAAGTAATTCATATTTAAGTAGGTGTCCAAACGTAGTTAAGTATTTAAGTTCTTAAGCACACACAAAATGGTCGATCAACAACGCAAAACATTCGCAAACTCTATGCTTAGATTTTTTTATCGTTTAGAGCCGCCCACCAACCTAATAGAAAAATAGATAAAATTCAAATTAAGGCCCTCTTGTACCTCCGCTTATGTTCCCATGCAAAAACGCATCGAGTGTAAAGACTCGCTCGCTTGCTTTCATACATTGAAATGAAATGAAATATCTTTATTCGAGTAGGCTTATTACACGCACTATTGAATAGTCCCAAAATAATTTTTCCCCTGCCACTTGTTCAGGACGTCTTTTAGCTGACAAGAAGAACAAGCGAAAGAAACTTACCAGCTTTTTATCATAAGTAATGAAATTTACATAAATCATGTCATTACCAAAATAATATGTATTATCACAATAATAAATACAAATACAAATTTCAAAGTCTGTAGGACATAGGTTGTACATATAATTAGTCTTTATAGAACAAAACGAAAGGCTATTAATTCCATACATTGCGGTCCTTCAAATAATCATCAACTTTATACATTATTAGATTATTAATCAAATCACAGAAAAAAAAACAAATTCAGTTATATATATTTTTTGTATACTTTAGATTTATACCAAACCCTATTTTTGTATTTATATTTTTATAGTCGTAAAATCGATCCAAAAAACCTATTAAGAGTCATCTTTGCATTTATTTACTAATTATTGAAATCACATAAAATTATTTAAATCTCGTCTGAAAATATGGTTAGTAGATAAATATTTTTATTTAGTAAATGATTTTTTTACTAAGAGATATTATTTGGAACACTTTAATTATATGATATATAATAGTTAATAATTAAGTTCATAAAATAGGAGCTCGGTGGCGTAGTGGATAAGCGCCGCGGCCCACGATCGTTGTCGTCAAGCAACTTTCGCAAGGGTCGGTCACGGGATGGGTGACCGAAAAATTATTATCTCGAACTACTCTGTGCTTCGGAAGGCACGTTAAGCCGTTGGTGCCGGCTGTATTTGCAGTCGTTAATACCCTCCAATCCGCATTGGGCCAGCGTGGAGGGTCATGGCCCATCCTACTTAACCATCCATAAAGAAGGCTTGAGCCCCTGCAGTGGGGACGTAAAAGGGCTGCTGATGATACTATTTAACAGTAAAATATGATATACTTATATTCCTTGAAATCTTTTTTGTAAACCATACTTTATTGCAATAAATAAATGCTTTGATTGAATTTTATGTTTCTAAAAACAGAAACATATCAAGCAATCGACTATAATTTTAATTTCCATAAAATTATTTTTATTTGGCAAACATTAGCAAAGAATTAGAATAAAATTAGTTTAAAATCTGGTACAACCTCGCCTTAAGCTCAAAAGAAGCTAACTAAATTTCAACTTACTACATAACACTTATTTGTGTTTACACGTAATAAACTAGTAAAAAATTTAATTTAAAAATTCACTTATCTACTAAATCACGTGTAAACAAGCCATAACATCTATCTTATATAACACTCACCTAGCCGCTTTAGCTGTAAGGTAGCCACGTTTCTTGGCCCATCCGTCGCATATATCTCTAGGCGACCAGGTGTCATCGTTCTCTGGATGTTCTATCCTCAACAGTTTCGGCAAATCCAACCTCTCTGCTAAATATCTGTTAAGAAAATAAATATATATAACCAAAGACTATTTACGAGGGTAGTTTGATAAGCTCTCGGACTAACCGAGATGAGGGTAGTATGTAAACTTATTTATTATTTGACAGCTTGATTCTTTATTTAATCGTATCTCAAGTGCCATTGTATTGAGACAAGGGGAGAATGTGTAGAAAAATAAAACATGCTTTTATTTTTATTTTCTTGGTCGGGCCGAGAACTTTTCAATCTTTACGTATACTATGATAAACTTTTCAGTACTGGATAATCAGTAGTAGCTAGTAGGTGGCGTATATGAGCGCCGCGGCCCGCGATCGTTGTTGTTAAGCAACTATCGCAAAGGTCAGCCACGGGATGGGTGACCGGAAAATCTCGTGTTTCGGGTGGCAAGTTAAGTCATCGGTCCCGGCCGCATTCGCAGTCGGTTAATAGCCAACAATCCACACTGGGCCCGCGCGAGAGGTCGTGGCCCGTTTCACCATCTTTACCGTATCTTCGGGTGTTTATTTCTTGCAATATTTGGTTATTTTTAATTTATTGATAAATCGACTAGCTGACTCTATTTATGTACAGATTACGTCACCACAGAGTGGAGAACAAAGATTATTAAACAGATGCGTCACGCATCCATAGAGAATGCCTACCAATGGGAATATTACACTGATGATGACAAGATCTCTGGTCCAAAAAAACTCTAACGAAAACTAAAAAAAAAATACATATATTGAAGACCTCCGTAGCAGAGTGGTTCGCACGCCGGTTTCAAGGTGTCGCCATCTCTGAGGTCCCGGGTTCGATTCCCGGTCGGGTCAATGTAGAAAATGAACTTTTCTATATTGTGTCGGGTCTGGGTGTTGCGTTACTTTCGTTGTCTCAGATACTCCATAATACGGGGGCTTTGACTCCTCATCTTGGAATCTGAACAATGTATGTGATATTGTGTTATATTTATTTAATTAGTAATTATTCGTAATAACCAGAGGTCGGAATTAGGTAGAGTTATTTATGTACTTGCATCGAAATGTTGATATTAATGTGGACCTTCCCGGGATTTCTTTATTTCTTTCTTTCATTGATGTAAGTTTGGCAACGTCGTGCGTGCAGTAGTTTAAATTGTGTAAAAGTAAATAACTTTTTATTTAAAAAATCACGGGATTTTTTCTGCTCTTTAAAATTAATCTCGGAATTTGAGGCATATCCACATTATTCTTTCGCTGTATGATATCAGTGTGAGTACATCAATAACTCTATCTAATTCCGACCACTGGTAATAACGCTAGACCTCACACATATATCTTTTTTACCTTATAGTAGTGTACGGCTCCCTCAACTGTGCTATGGGATATGATCCCATTAGAATTTGTATGGGACGAGGCACCTTCGACGGGAAAACTAGACCCGGACAATCACACAGACGGACCTGTTTTATAATATAATAATACAATCACTACACAGTATCAAACAAAGTCGCTTTCTCTGTCCCTATATCTTTAAAACTACTCAACGGATTTTGATGCGGTTTTTTTTCATAGATAGGGCGATTCAAAAGGAAGGTTTTTAATTATAATACAAGCAGCTGGCGGAAAGCTAGTAATTATAAATAAACTAGCTGCTTTTTAATTCGCACGCGTTAATTATAAACCTTAGTCAACCCCGTATGATGTAGCCGCTCTTTAAAATAATTCCAGTAATTCCGGAGCAAACAATTCGATGCAAACAAACAAACAATCTAATAATTTCTCTTTATAATATTAGTATAGATATTATACGACGTAACATACATCACTTAGATACCGAATTCAGTAGATATAGATTTCAGAATACAAGTGTATTCTGAAATCGGTGGTCTAATTAGCTATTATTATAATAATAATAACTAATTATAGAATAACTCTTTGTTGTCAACACCACATATACAGAAAGCTCGGTGGCGTAGTGGATAAGCGCCGCGGCCCGCGATCGTTGTCGTTAAGCAACTTTCGCAAGGGTCGGTCACGGGATGGGTGACCGAAAAATTATTATCTCGAGCCACTCCGTGCTTCGGAAGGCACGTTAAGCTGTTGGTCCCGGCTGCATTTGCAGTCGTTAATAGCCTCCAATCCGCATTGGGCCAGCGTGGAGGGTCATGGCCCATCCTCCTTAACCATCCATAAGGAAGGCCTGAGCCCCTGCAGTGGGGACGTAAAAGGGCTGGTGATGTGATGTGTGTAACAATTGGCGGTCTTATCGCTTAGAGCGATCTATATGACATTTATTTTAGTTTATTATTTTCATGACACGCTTACTATTCCATAATTTTGGTATTATTATGATATTGACATGTTTTAAAATGTAATTTAAAATTAACTAAACTGACATTGTTTTTTTTTATTTCTTTTTATTGCTATGTTTAACTTGCTGGTGAGTTGGATGTATTAGTCTGTAAGTTAGCATGTAACTAAATAAATAAATAAACATAAAAATAATAATAATAAAATACATAAAATATATATATTTATAATGAAAATTAGAATAATTAGACGCAAATATCATTGAAAGTTATACAGAAATGTCAAACGAATGAGTTTAATGCTAACTGCAATCTTTAGAGGGGTTTAATGTTTGTTGCTCATTCAAAAAATCATCAGTCCAAAAGCCAATACAACTTCAATAATTTGATTACCCCATAAATAGGGATGATGACTAATTTTCGTTTGTTTGTCCGTCAGGTAGAGTGTTAAAAAATATTAAACACGTATTTTTTTATTTTTTTCGTAATCATAAAATAACGGCGTTACATTGAGTTGAAATTTCGCATGACGTCACGTTAGAGTACGTTTTCTACTCAACTGTGACGTAGCGAGCCCCCACTCCTCAACTTTAATGCCTGTTATCTAAGCTATTTGTTGTTAAATTGAAGTAAAAAAAAATACGTATCTAATATTTTTCTATTATCTGACTGACGGACTAAATAGAATTGTATTTTTTTTTACCCAGTCATCATCCCTATTGCTATCACAATCACTATATACCCTTGAAAGCAATTGCGACAGAATTTAATCTTAAACAATTAGCCCACTTGATTAGTAATTACTTTAAGATTTTATTTGTGAAACCAGTGAAAGTTCGCCTAAGTTACTCCATATTACATAATCTATCTGCCAGTGAGAGTCCCGTCAAAATCGGTTCAGCCGTTTCAAAGATGTTAGCCGGAACAAACTGACAGCCAAACAAAATGTAATAAAAAAAGGTAATTCTGATATATATACCGTCTATGTGCATTTAGTGAAAATACAATTTTAAAATTAGAAACAGATACTCTTATAGGGATGGCGCCTGGTTAAAAAAAAAAGAAAATCCATTAAATTCGTCAATCAGATAGTAGAAAAATTTTAGAGACTATTTTTACTTTAATTTAAACAAGAATGAGGAAGTTTAAAAAAAATAGTTCCTTGATTTCTCCATGACAACCCTTCCGGTTTTCTTTCATGTATAAAAATAAATTGTATAAAAAAAATGTATAAAAGTTTTCAAAACTCAATAAACAACTCACATTCTATTTGTACTTTTTCATATTTGTATTGATATGTAAGTTTCGGACTTTGCAAATTTCAGTTTTTTAATATGTCATTTAAAAGGAACGGAAATGAATATCTTTGGTCCATTCGTTTCCTGCAAAATTCAACTTTTACTAGAGTCGCCATCTAGCGGAGGTGCTTTTTTAATGCATTCTTTTTTTAAAACTTCCTCATTACCTTAAATAACAGTCATTAAAGTTAAGGAGTGGGGGCTCGCTGCGTCACAATTTTGTAGAAAATGTACCAAATCGTGACGTCATGTGACATTTTAATGATTACGAAAAACAAATAAAAAAAAGAGTTTAATATTTTTCAACAAACAAAATTTTGTCGTCTGACATTTAACTCAATGAAATTCAACGAAAAACAATTAAAAAATAGCGTTTAATATTTTTAAACTTAGTCGTCATACCTATTTATTTGTATAGATTACCTTTGGCGTCAAATATATAGTCTGAAAGTGTTTCGTGTGTCCGGGCGTTTTGGACACGGACACAACTTTCCTGCCCATTAGAGCGTTCATCAACGACGACTTCCCAACGTTGGGCTGCCCGACACAGCCGACGGTCAACATGCCGTCGCCGTAACGCGTGTGACTGAAATATGTCGTGTCTGCCTCTTCCACAATAGTTTCCCCTATTGAAGAGCAAAACAATAGGGGTGTAGACAACATTTTTATTATTTTATATTTAATCTTCACTCAAATCGAAAGATTCGAATGAGAAAGTATTAAAAAAGTAAAACAAATAGTTCCCGAAATCAAACTAGATGTCGCTACGGTACGTTCTTGATTTCTCCACGACAGCCCTTCCGGTTTTCTTTCATGTATAAAAGTAAATTAGTTTTAAAAACTCAATAACAAATCATATTCTATTTGTATTTTTTCGTATTTGTATTGATATATAAGTTTGGAACTTTTCATATTTCAGTTTATTAATATTTTAGTTAAAAGGAACGGGAATGACTGTCTTTGGTCCATTCGTTTCCTGCAAAAATCAACCGTTTAGTCTCAATATGTCAAGCGGTCGCAAAATGTCCAAGTCGCAAAACGTCCAAGTCGCAAAATGTCCAAGTCGCAAAATGTCCAAGTCGCAAAATGTCCAAGTCGCAAAATGTCCAAGTCGCAAAACGTCCAAGTTGCAAAATGTCCAAGTCTCAATATGTCCAAATCTCAAAAGTTCAATGTTTTATCAGTTGAATTATGAAATGAAAGCGCTTTTGATTTTTTAATGTAACAGTTCTTTATTAATCTCACCATCAAATTAGTTTATGATAAGTTGATAACACAATTAATAAATTAAGGTTTTTTTTAAATTTTCATATATATTTACTTTAAGTGTGTACATTATGTATATAAGAACTGTTACATTAAGAAATCAAAAGAGCTTTCATTTCATAATTTAACTGATAAAACTTTGAACTTTTGAGATTTGAACATTTTGCAACTTGGACGTTTTGCGACTTGGACATTTTGCGACCGCTTGACATTTTGCAACTTGGACATTTTAATATTAAACAAAATCAACTTTTACCAGAGTCGCCATCTAGTGTTGTCGCTTTTTTAATGTTTTCATTTTTTTTTAATACTTCCTCATTCTGCCAATGTCAAGTAAATAAATTATTTTCTATATACATGTAAAAAAAAAGAAATGAATTCCTTTTAAACAGTTGTAGTGCGTTTATATTTACTTTCATGACCTTTCGATTACAGGTTACGTGTTCAATTAAGACTAAGGTGTCTTCTTCTTTTTAATTAATGGCGTTGCCCTTGTGGATTTCGCCAGAATTCAGTGTTTGGCTGTTTATTTCATATTTTAGTATTTTATAAACTCTGATTGATTGTCTTTTTTAATTATGACTATATCTACCTTCATTTAGCTAGTCTGTATATAAAAGCCTAACGTCATTCACAGAGTAGCGAGCAAAGAGTAAAGTAACAGAGAGCATAGTAGGCATTTAATATATTTTTTATTTATTTATTAATTTATAATTAGTTATGAAGAGTGCAATGTCATCCAATACATCATTGCTGCATATTTGGATGTAAGAAGGTAGGTAATTCAGTTACAAAAAATAAAATGTTGCAATAAGTTTGTTTGTAAGTTACACGTATGCTACCATCTACATATTTAGTCATTAATCACTCACCGACTTCGGTGTTGTCTTCTTCGTCTTCTACAGCAGCCTCTTCTTTTATTTTCTTCTCCCAACAGCTAAGATCTAGCTCATAGCACACTATATCTTTGCATGCTTCATATATTTTTGTAGCTCCTTCAACACACATCCGTTGACGACCTTTCCGACGTCTTACTTGAAGACCTAATAATATAATATATCCTATTAATATTATAAAGGCGAAAGTTTGTAAGTATGGATGTATGGATGTTTGTTACTCTTTCACGAAAAAACTACTGGACGGATTTGGATAAAACTTTACAGCAATATAGGTTATACATCAGAATAACACATAGGGTACTTTTTACTGGGAAAACTTCTCACTCCCACGGGATACCGACTTCCACGCGGACGAAGTCGCGGGCGTCCACTAGTTTTTTTAATAAAACTAGGTCTAATTTCCTAATAGGCATTATGTTACAAATTCTATATGATAAAGTCTGTCTATTGCCTAGATTATAAGTGTACTCACCAGCCTTATCACTCGTCCCCCCTCTCAGAGCATATCCCGGACAAGACGTGAAGAATACAACTCTCAAATACTTATAGGTTTTCTTGAAATAATCATACCAAGCGACCGCGACCGAAGCGGGCACAAGGTCTACCTTGTTCAATACCAATATCATACCTTTGCCTTCCTCTCTTATGTGTTGGTAAAGAGAGGGAGGGAACATCAAGCCCTGCGTAAGGAAGAAATCACAATAGTTTCATGCATATATCGATATTTCGAAAAATATCGATATCGAAATTATGACGCCTAAAAATATCGATATAGGGCATAACTATGGACATCTAACATCAACACTCGTATCTAACTATCGAGAGATGTAATTACCTGAAAAAATGTCATAACTTAAGCAAATATTTTTAACTAATAAACGAAAATAGACTCTAAAGAGGTACTATTATCATTATAATACTAATATCATTAGCTTTTATTAATAAACAAGGTTTAGCGTTGGAGTAAATATACGCTGAGACTGCACTTAGTATTAGTCAAAATTCATATTATTAAACAGAGACTTGGCAAAGGTTTACCTAGTACGAGGTTCTACGGGGGTAATATTTACTCCTAGAAGTTAGTAGGTTTGCTTATTCCCAGTATAATATGAATTTGGACTAATACTTAAATTGCAATTTTAGCGTTTATTTACTCTGACGCTAAAACTTATTTATTAATAGAGCTGATCAGTCCACAAAGAAGATATTTTATATTTACTTAAGACTTTAAAAAAATCTATTAACAAGGTCAACTAAAATCAACATATCATCGATATCGATATTTTTTATAAAGCTTACATCCCTAGTTGCACCTGAAAGTGCCATTTTTCGTCGCCGCATCCTTTTCTATCTCACTCAGACTCAGAACCAAAATTTGCTAGAGAGAAAATTGGTGGATATGCATAGGCTGCCTCGGAATAATGCTAGACACCTTTTTGGTGCAACTGCGGGACACGCATCACTATTATTATTACTACTCAAATATTATTAATTTTTGTCTTTTGAGTTTTCTGTTAATTTTGATTCTCTGTTGATTATCTGTAAGTGTCCTATGTGTATGTACTAAATAAATAATTTTGATTTGATTTGATTTGAATCCTCGAGGCTATAGGCCACATGTTCTTTCTCGCTTTAGCAAAAATCTATTCAGAACGACGAAAAGCTTTTTTAAAGTATATCTTTGCTGCTAATTTTAGAAACTTTCATTTAACTTAGTTGTATTCTGTGTTAGTTATTGTGAGTCAAATTTTGTAAGCACCCTCTTATTACTGATACAGACGTATATATTACTGATAACAGATGAATCAATTGATGATGAATGGCGAATAAGGAATGATGACTAGCGAATAAGGAACGATGACTGGCGAATAATAAGGAACGATGACTGCCGAACAAGGAACGACGACTGGCAAATAAGGAATGATGACTGGTGAATAAGGAATGATGACTAATGCATAAGGAATTATGACTGGCGAATAAGGAATGATGACTGGCGAATAAGGAACGATGACTGGCGAATAAGGAGCGATGACTGCCGAATAGGGAACGATGACTGGCGAATAAGGAATGATGACTGGTGAATAAGGAATGATGACTGATGCATAAGGAATTATGACTGGCGAATAAGGAATGATGACTGGCGAATAAGGAATGATGACTGGCGAATATGGAACGATGACTGGCGAATAAGGAACGATGACTGCCGAATAAGGAACGATGACTGGCGAATAAGGAATGATGACTGATGCATAAAGAATTATGACTGGCGAATAAGGAATGATGACTGGCAAATAAGGAACGATGACTGGCGAATAAGGAACGATGACTGGCGAATAAGGAGCGATGACTGCCGAATAGGGAACGATGACTGGCGAATAAGGAATGATGACTGATGCATAAGGAATTATGACTGGCTAATAAGGAATAATGGCTGATGACTGACGTATGGTGAATGAATGACACAACTTACCGCATATCTGACGTCCACGATTAACAATAAGATGTCGCACATCTCCAACACGCGCCAGAGTTGACGCCATGTCTCCAAGTTGAGTTCGAAATATGATATATCATCCCAATGATCAGACTCTTGTAACTTATGTATATAGTTCTAAAACAAGAGAAAATTATTTTTCATAAAAACACTCGAAAATTAACAAGGCCCCGGATCTACGACTTTTTTCAACTGGACCAGAAATTTGATATCGCGTCTATACACTGAGTAACTAGCCTTCGCTTGGTTGCCCCGGGCTGCGAGCAGCCCGGGGAGGTAACGAGTAGCTGGTGGAATCGGAGCGATGGGGTTTCAAGTCCGCCTTCGTTGTGAAATTTGTGTTTTTCGATTTTTATTTGTTAAGTTTGTTTTCTAGTTTGAAATTGCCTACAAAAAGTTAGTAAGGTCTATCTTCAAATGGAAGGTGTTTAGGCACCATACATTAAAGAAAAAGGGTTACCAGTATATACTTAATAAAAAAAGAAATATTCAGTTGAAAAACGCAAGCACAATTAAAAAATAAATTTCCTATAGATCGCCTTGTAGTCTTTTATTCTTATTCAATAATAAATTCCTAAAAATGACGGTATCAAAAAAAAAAATTTTTCCATCTGGCAACACTTCAGTTGATGATAATTTTTTGGAAGTAATCTGAAAAATGTTTTCATATGCGCCAAAATTAACTGTATAAAGTGAAAATTGTAAAAGAATATCATTTTTCTAGATAAAATGATTACTGCTTAAGCCGCCATCTTGAATTTTGAAATTTTGATCTCATACTTATGTAGCACACCTATTGGCGCATCCAACGCAGTTTTTGTTATTTTCCTAGCGGCGATAGTGACTGAGCTAGAGTCCAAAACGTGAATAGTGGGCATTAAATCTTCAACTCGCTGTAGCTGCCGGGGTTGCCAGATGTAAGCGATAAAAATAGTCAAATGTGATTTCAGGATGTGCCCTCCATCGACGGATGCCAATTTTCAAGTTCTTAAAGTATTCCTTTGACAGTTATAGTTTTTGGGGTAAATCTCAAAAACTACCCTAAAATCGGGTAATTTTTTTCCACCATATGAAAGATTCTATAGAGATACACAATCGCTCCATACATGCCGAATACCTGCGGGGTTGCCAAGTCGGTCAAAATCGAGGTTGAATTTCAAACGTTGTTTGCTCTCAGTGTTGCCAGTCGATCGTTCTATTTTTTCCATCGGGTAACTTGAAAAGTTAAAATTAAAATATTTGCATCGAAAAAAATTCAAAATTCGACAAAAAGTGTTTCCCCAAAAATCTCATAAAGTACCAAAAATTTTCAAGATTTTTTTTCACCTGGCAATACCTCAGCTACTTGCCTAAAAATTGTTTCCCCCGGAAGTAGTCTGACAAATGTCGCCAAGTGCGTCAAAATCGGCTCGACGTGGTGACGATACCCAATTTTTCGGATAAAATGGATGCTGGTTTGGCCGCCATCTTGAATTTTGAAAATCCGGCTCCGTACCGGTGTGGCCAACTCGATAGTGCATCTGATGCAGTTTTAACCATTTTCCTAGTGGCAATACTGACCGCGCTAGAGTCGACAAAGTAAAAAATGGCCAAAATTTTTCAAATCGCCGCTCTTACCAGGGTTGCCAGGTGACGACGATGAAAACGTCCGAATGTCATTTTGGGGAGTGCCCTCCGTCGAGGAAATTCATTTTTGAAATTCCCAAAAGGCTCCTTCTACTTTTCACCTTTTTGGGGTAAATCTCCGAAATTACCCTAAAATCGGGGAAAAATTTCACGTCATTCGAAAGAGCCAGCGGAGACTCACGACCAGTCCATACCAGGCGAAGAGCTACAATGTTGCTGTGTAGGCTAAAAGTGCGTTTGAATTTTTCGAAAAAGTGAAAAAATCACAAAATGGCCGCTGCCGGCGCCGCCATATTGATTTTCCCGAGTTTCACAATTTTCCCATAGTCACGACTATATTTGGCGCGACATCTCATTCACAGATTTTCTCCACTGGCCACCCAGGTTCCCAAACAATTCGGGTTATGAGGGCATGTCGAAAAACACGTTTTCTACCGTGGAGCCCAGGGTTGTCAGCTCGCGGAAACGAAAACTACCAAAAGTCATAGGGCTCCCCCGGCACCACACCGCACCGAGTCTGTTTTCCGAGAAAAATGCGTATTTCGAAATTTCACTTTTCTCCCAAAATCTCATAAACTACTACGAAAATGGTAGAAATTAGTACTAATATGGAAAGATCCTACCGAGCCCCACGACCGCCCCATATAAAGAAAACCAGTACATTGCCGCCATCTTGGAGAAAATCTCACTGGAAAATGGCGATTTTTCATTGCCGAAACAAAATGGCCGCCCCCGCCGCCGCCATGTTGAAGCGCAAATGAAAACACCCTCTACGTGAAAATTGACTATACTTCCGAGCTGAAGGAGCAAAAATCCCCCCTCCGGACCCACAAAAAAAGAAATGACAATCGCCCGAACAGAGGTCGAAAAATGTCAATTTTCGAGGTAAAATATCTCGGCCGCCATTTTGTTTTTTTAATCAAACCCTTTTTCATTGCCATTTTTTTAGCCCACTCTACGACCATTTTGAATATCGTAATCGTAGAGTGTATAATGTAGAAATTAAAAAAACTATCTCGCCGCCATTTTGTTTTTTGGCTGAACCGATATGCCATTTCAACTCATTTTAAAAAAATATTATCAGTCTCCATACATGAAAATGTCATTTTCCCCCTCCTTCTACCCGAAAAAAGCATGGAGTGAGTCAGTGAGTGAGTCAGTCAGTGGTAATTAAGCTTTATATATTATAGACTAGCTTTCGCTTGGTTGCCCCGGGCTGCGAGCAGCCCGGGGAGGTTACGAGTAGCTAGTGGAATCGGGGCGGTGGGGTTTCAAGTCCACCTCGTGTTTTGTCGGGTTCATAGTTTGAAATTGCCTAGAAAAGGTCAGTAAGTTCTATCTTCAAATAAAAGGTGTTAAAGGACAAAAGCACCATACATCAAAGAAAAAGTGTTGCCAGTTCACACTTAATAGAAAAAGATATTCAGTCGAAAAACGCAAGCAAAACTTAAAATAAATTTTGTATAGATACTTAAAATAAGTTTTGTGTTTTATTCTCTTATTCTTATTTATTATTAAATTACTGTATAATATTAAAAAACAATCGAACATATATTTCCATCAGTGTTACTATCATTAATTAATCAATTAAATGTCAAGAAATAGTATTTATTGTATTTGCATTATTACATTACATTATTTATGTAAGATTTATTTATTATATGAAAAGGGTACCGATGTCGTGGCCAGATATTAGAATAGATCAATTCACGACGCAATGGGGTTTTAAGTCCGCCTTCGTTTCAGAATAGAAGCTTTCGCTTGGTTGCCCCGGGCTGCTTGCAGCCCGGGGAGGTCACGAGTAGCTAGTGGAATCGGGGCGGTGGGGTTTTAAGTCCGCCTCCGTTGCAGAATTTGAGTTTTTCGATTTTTTTTTGTTATGTTTGTTTTATAGTTTGAAATCGCCAACAAAATGTTAGTAAGTTCAGTCTTCAAATGAAAGGTGTTTAAGCACCATACATCAAAGAAAAAGGGTTGCCAGTTTACACGCAATAGAAAAAGAAATATTCAGTCGAAAACGCAAGCAAAACTCTAAATAAATTATAGTCTCTTATTCTTTTCAATAGTAAGTATATATTTAGTATGAAAAAGGATCGAGTAGATATTTCCCCCAGTGTTACCTTAAATAATAATACACCAAATAAATAAATGTCATATTTCAAAATCATATCTACGTAGAACACTTTCATTTTGAATATCAAAAGAACATGTTTTCTCAATAATCTAAAAGTATAGAAAAATATATTTTAAGTATTAAATATCGTGTCAAAAATTGGATTTTCTTTTCTCCATACTTACCTATATGAAAGTGTGGGTAAAGATACACAAATATACAAATGGTCCAAATATACACGCTATAAAGATCCCGAATTATCAAGTCCATCAAAATCAAAATTGAAATTAAAATGGTCACGATCATCTTTTAAACATTATAAACCAAATGTTACCATCAACAAAAGCGATTCGTTTCTGGCACTTCGCCGGCCGCTGCCGCGGCACGCTCGCTACGCTCGCTCGGCTCGTGCGTTGTTTTTCATACACTAACCTAACCTAACCCATATGTCATAATAAAACCTAAAACCTATACAAGTTTTTGTTGCTTTACTTATTGTCAAGTTCTTGAGCATAAACGAGTCGCTTGTGGAATCGGAGCGGTGGGATTTTAGGTCCGCCTCTTGTTATGTTTACAGTTTAAATTTGCTTAGAAAAAGTTAGTGAGTTCTATCTTCAAATGAATACGTCATACGTCAAAGAAAAAGGGTTGCCAGTTTACACTAAATAGAAAAAGAAACATTCAGTTGAAAAACGCAAGCAAAACTAAAATAAAATTTGGAATAGATCGGCTTGTAGTCATTTATTCTTTTATTCTTATTCAAAAGTAAGTTAATATTTAGTTAATACAGATATTGGAGTTTTAAGACCGCCTCTTGTTATGTTGGGTTTACAGTATAAAATTGCCTAGAAAAAGTTAGTAAGTTCTATCTTCAAATAAAAGATCTTTAATTACGCAAAACATCATACATAAAAAAAAAGATTGCCTGTTTATACGCAATATAAAAAGAAATATTCAGTTCAAAAACGTAAGAAAACTTAAAATAAATGTTGAATACATCGCCTTGTAGTCTTTTATTCTTATTCAATAGAAAATTTCCTAAAAATCACAGTATCAAAAAAAAAACTGTTTTTTATCATCCGGCAACACTTCAACTGAATACATTTTTTTTTCTGTAAGTAATCTGAAAAATGTTATCAATAACGCCAAAATCAGCTCTATAAAGTAAAAACCGTGAAAATTGATACATTTTCTAGCACACTTATAAGCACATTTGGTCACAGTTCCTTAACCGATTGACCAGGTCTCCATTTATTATGGCTCGCTTCGCTCGCTTTTTCTTTTCGTTTTTTTCGCAGATCTAATCTAACCGATTGACCAGGTCTCTATTGATGGTGTCCTTTATGGCTCGCTTCGCTCGCATTTTGTTTTAGTCAGA